AAGTAATGCCCAAAGCTTTGGAATTGAAAATCAGGGGTTGGGCCTAACAAAGGACCTTTGTCTTTGAATTTCTGGGTGCTAGAGGTTTTAGGAAGGCTTGGTGATTTGGATACCGAAACACTGGCAATTACAGTCCACAGAACTTTGATGACTGGTGGGGATAGCAGGCAAATTATCTTACATCACAGAATCTAAAAGGAGGAAGAGGTGTTTATCTGATCCCCAGGGAGCCTGGGCCTGAGGACCTTTCTGACAGACAAGGGGCTGTATTGTTCTTCTCCAGGTCACAGGACCCAGGATCAACTCAGGAGCCTGGGAAGAAGCAGTAACCCCATTAGGGAAGAGGCAACCATCAATTCTGAAGAGCTTGGTAAACATTCTCCTTTTCTGTCTGTAGTTCCAACTGAATTGGTAAGACTCAAAGGAAAGAGAGGCCCCATTTCTGCTCCCCCCAACATATAGTTGGGTATAATGCTCCCAGCTGGGAAAAGACTATATTAGAGTAGATTCTGCTGCTATGACAAATAGACCCCAAAATGGAACAGGAGTGCATTTCCTGCTGGAGCATCAGTTCTTGGCCAGTAGACTAATGAATGAGGCCGCCTCCTATACAGTCATCCAGGGACCAGACTAAAAGAGGTTCTATTCACTGCAACATGTAGCTTCCAAGTCTCTTTCAGGTGTTTCCTTCATTCCCATCAAGAGGAGGGGGTCATTGCTTAGAGAAGTCCAGGCAGAAGTTTCTTGTAGGCCAGACTAGAATGCTTCACTACCTGCTCCCTAGATCCAGGAGTTGGAATTCAGAGACTATGCCTATCTGTGAGGGTGGCCATGAAATGCAGGCTAGTATACACCCGAGGAGAAAAGAAAATGGACTTTGCTAACATCATGTCTGTCTCTGTGGCCTGGGTCTTAGGCCTCGATAGGCTTCTTCCTATGACTCTGCTTGTCACTTCTCAGCCCATTGGAGGCTCCCACTTTGCCCCTGTTGACGCTGGCCCTTTGTGGCCCCTACTCCTGCAATATCACCTCCACTCCCCAGCCCCATCTGTAGTCCAGTCAGGCCTATCCTAAATGGACCCACCCTGTCCACAGCTCCATCAGAAGGCATAGCCCCAGATGCAGCAAGGTGTGGGCCCAATTAGCTCTTTGTTCTACTGGGCATTTGTGTGGGAAATCTGAGAGGGCTTCCTGCCCTCTTCCTATTGAAGTAAAAATGTCACTGGGCAAGCATCAGGCCTGTGATCTCAGTGACTTCAGAGGCTGAGGCAGGAAGATAGCAAGTTTAAGGCCAACCTGGGCAACTTAGCGAAATTAAAAAGGGCCAGGGCTGCAGCTCAGTGGTAGAGTGCCCCTGGGTTCATCCCCATGCCAGAAAGAAAGAAAAAATCACTGGGCAGGCTTGGGTGGAGCAGCTAGGGTGGCCCCTGCAAGGACAGAATTAAAACAGGGAGCCTGGGACAGCACGGAGAGGTCAGGTCAGGAGATGGCCATGTGCTGGCAGTGGAGCAAACAAGTGAACATAGCGAGAACAAGGGAGCCAGGGTCCCCTCTGATGGAGGGAGGTGTTTGAAAAGCTTCATACTTACACCATAGCTTCCAAACTGGAGCTATCTGTGTGAGCCTATGGCGTACCACAGAGAGAAAGCAATAGAAATCAACAGATGTCAAGAGGGCCCAGGAGCAGCAATGTTCCAAATGCCATTTTCCACTAGAAGAATCCTGGAGAAATGGCTGATTCTAGGAAAAGGACAAAGAGGCCTAGACCATTTTGCCATGAAAGACATTCTGGAATAATGATGGGGAGATGCCACTTGAAGGCAGGCTCACTAGCCAGATCCAGAGCAATATGGACACCAAAATAAATGACATTTTAACCCACCCAATAAAATATGAATCCATAAGTCCACAGACACAGAGAGAAGGGAAAACTCTGACAACAGAATGCCACCTCCTGTGTGTAGGAGGAATAACAATACAAAGTGACCGCTTGGCAACCAGTTCAGTTACTCAGCCAGCAAACAGAATAGGTACAACACCTAACAGGTAAAGGTGGAATAAGGAACAGTAGATTTACATAGTCCCAGAGTACCTCTGCACAAATTTGGGGGGGAGGTACCAGGAATTGAACACAGGACTTCATGCATGCTAGGCAAGTGCTCTGCCCCTGAGCTCATCACCTGCTCTTTTCATATTATTTTGAGACAAGAGTCTCACTAAGTCACCCAGACTGGCCTTGAGCTTGTGATCCTCCTGCTTCAGCCTCCCGAGTTGCTGGGATAACCGGCCTGCACCTCTGTGTCCGGCTCAAATTATTATTCTTTATTACCCAGGAGAAATGAGAACTTTACAAAGGAGAAAGTTGTAGTCAAAATTAGTATCATCTGTAATCGGATAAATAAACATTGTGTGCTACTCCAGAGGACGCGCAATGAGAAGACATCACTTCTGTGATTACCCAGCCCAAGATGCTTGGACAAACCTAAGTGAGGAGACAGTCCATGAAATGACAGTCCTGTTGTCTTCAGAAAGTCAAGGGTATGGGGCTGGGGCTGGGGCTCAAGCGGTAGCGCGCTCGCCTGACAGGCGTGCGGCCCGGGTTCGATCCTCAGCACTACATACAGTCAAAGATGTTGTGTCCACCAAATACTAAAAAAAATAAACATTAAAATTCTCCCTCTCTCTCCCTCTCTCTCACTCTTTCTGAAAAAAAAATTCTCTCTCTCTCTCTCTCTCTCTCTCGTTCTTTAAAACAAAAAGTCAAGGGCATGAAGTTCAAGTAGAGCCTGAGGAACTGTTCCAATTCAAGGGAGAACAGAAAAGTGGCTCTTGGGTGCAATCTGTGACCCCAAGTTAGATCTTTTGTTACAAAACACCACTGGGGCACGGTTGAAATCGAGTGGGGTCTCTGGGTGAAGGATGTTTAGGAATTCTTGTGGATTTTCCATGTGTTTAAAATTATTTCCGTGTGTTTAAAATATATGTATGTATATATATATGTATATAAATGTTACGTATATATTATATGTACATATGTTTGGGGGGTACTGGGAATTGAACTCGGAATCACTTAACCACTGAGCTACATCCCCATCCCTTTTTTATTTTCCCAGTAAAAGCTCTTTATTCTCACAGATCAATGACTGTTGGCAACACATTGCAGCACAGAATGACTATATGATTAAAATATTCTTTCTTCCCATTGACACAGTTGGCAGTTTTAAAAGAATGACAGGATACATATTTTTAGCAACATAAAAAATCAACTTTTAACAATAAATATTCAGAGATGGCTTGGAGTTGACTGTCATGGGTTTGCAGTTGGGTGTATTTCATGAAGCAGGGATCCTTTCTCCTCTCTTCCCCCAACCAACAGGCAGGTAGAAGACCTGATGGAGAACTCTAGGACCCCAAGACCCAACATCAGAGCCACAGGAGGGAAGGAAGCAGAGCCCGTTCATCATACTGCACGGGAGCCAAGCTTCCTTTCTTGGTCAGACACTACTTTGATCTTGACATGAACAATAAACTCTTAAGCCCTGAGATGGAGGGCACTTCCTCCTCACTATCGAACTCATCTGCTCCTCAGCACCCTGCATTCTCAGACCTCTACTTGAGGTCTCAGAGCCCTGAACTTGTCATCACCTCATTGTTATCCCAGCCAGAAATCCAGGCACCACTGGACCTTCCTCCCTCTGGGACTCAGCCCTCCAGCTGGCCATTTCAGCCTCTTGTGGAACTCAATCCTCCATGCCCACCAGTCCTGCCTGTCAACTTCTCTCTCACCAAGGCCATCTTAACCGGTCCTGGGGCCTCAGCCTTTCTCTTTTCCAGTTTGGGAGCACTCCCAGAACAAGGGCGTGGTTGTACACTTCCTTCTCCCACTTCCCGCTATTCTTGGCTAGAACACTGTCCCCATTTCTAGTCCACTTGGTACACCCTGAACTCTCCTTTCACAGAACAGCACCTGAGTCACCTTGATGAAGCCCCTCTCTGGTCCCCGGACATATTCTTGCGCGGCCAGCTGCTCTGCGCATTGTACTCTGGGCCAAACACACCAGTCTCCCAAGAACAGACTGAGTGCCTTGGCACCATATGCTCTGGAATAGATCCTCCCCTCCCACCCGCAGGAAGGCCAGACTTCAGACCCAGCCTCCTGCTTCCACTGACCCATGTAGGACTTCTCATGCTAACCTCACCCCCTGGGCCCGTTCCCACTCTGTAAAGGCAAGAACCACCATCATGGAAGCCTTCTGCAGTTGCCCAGAGTCCACTAAATATTAGAAACAAGATACTTACTCCTAGATCAGCCCCCTAGCCATCTCCCAAATGGCATTCAACCTGCAAATGAAAATCATTTTTTGCAGAGGTGTGGGGTTTACTGGATATTGAACCCAGAGGCGCTTTACCACTATGCTACATCTCTAATCCTTGTTGAGACAGGGTCTCCTTAAGTTGCTTAGGGCCTTACTAAGTTGCTAAAGCTGGCTTTGAATTTGCAATCCTCCTGCCTCACCCTCCCCCAAAAAATCATTTCTTAAGAGCCCTGGGCACACAGTGCACAGTGCAATTCACAGTTGGTCTTAACTCCTGGAAGTTGCTGTGGCTTCCTTGGAACTCCTACCCAGCCTGGAGTCCAGCCCAGACCTCTGCATATCCCAAGAATTTTCTAAATAGCTGCTGCCAGGGGCTGGGGATGTGGCTCAAGCGGTAATGCGCTCGCCTGGCATGCGTGGGGCGCTGGATTCGATCCTCAGCACCACATAAAATAAAATAAAAAATAAAAATTAAAAAATAGCTGCTGCCAGGCCAAGACCACCACCCTCTAGGACCTACAAGCCCCAGACAGCACTGACTAGAACATGACTAGTAACCAGAGACAGCCTGGCAGGAGACTCCTGTGAGATGGAACCCTGCCAAGAAAACAGAATAGAGAGGGGGCATTCTTTACTGGGTGCTTGTCTACTTCTGACTGAACTCTTAGGAAAAAGAGTCGGCTATAGAGAAGTAGTAGATTGTGTTTATTCCCAAGTCCCAACCACACATTCAACCCCCAAGATCCCTGAGACCCAGGATGCGGGCTGGAAAATGAAGGCACTGAATGAGTGAAGACCCAGGTGTCCTGGCCAGGGACCTGCCTGCCCATAGGTGTGGCAGAGCAGGGACACACTGTACCCCAACCCTTTGTCTCTGGCCTTCAAAGTAGGCCCTGTGTGCTAAGGTCCTCTGAGGAAGCCCAGAGTCCTCTGTCATCCCCGACATGGGGAGCCCAGGAGTCAGCAGGACAGATACAAAGTCTTCCAAGCAGCACCTGACTACCAGGACCAGAGTTCTGTGCAGCTGGCTTGAATCCCCAGGAGGAAAATAACATGATTGATTCTAGTGCTGAAGAAGTGGGGGGTCAAGAAAGCACCCCAAAACAGGCTGCCAACTCTGAGGCCCATGGGACTGGAGTCCTGGAGCTGGGTGGGCCTTGGATCCTAAGGTGGCTTCAACCTCAACATCACTTCTATGGCATAAAACAGTCACTCCTCTTCTGCAGGGGGAGGGGATGATAGAGCCTCAGAGCTTGCTCCTAGGGGTCTCGGGCAGGGGCCGCTGCAGCCTCCACACCACGCTGACTGACTCAGCAGCGCGGTTCAGGTCATGGAAGCCCCCCAGGTCGCCAGTCTGAATGTACCGCTGCAGGGCGGGCTGAAGCACCGTGATGGGAATGCTGAAGTTCAGGTGGGGGTAGGTGGCCCCTGTGTTATTGTCCCGGGTGTTGCTGGCGACAATGCCTGTTGAGGAGTCAGAAAACAAAGAGGATATGAGCCAGGGGTAGCCCGAACAGATGTGAGAGAAGGATCATCTCTATTCTGGAATCTCCAGGTCCTGCGGGGAGCTCAAAACTTCCATCATAACAGATGCCAACGAGTTTCCTATAATAAGGCAGCTGTTCCTCACACCACCACAACCCTGTCTAACCCAGGATCTCACATTGCTTTAGTTGTCACATCTTCCAAAATCTCTGACAATTTGGGCTGATTCCTCGGCTTTTCCTTCTTTCATGGCCTTGACACTTTGAAGAGTATGAGACGGTTATTTTGTACAATGGGCCTAAATTTATCCCAGGGTCAATGGAATTTTGCATTATTGGGAAGAATCCCAAAGAAGTGACCTGTCTGTCTCACTGTGTTATCAGGAGGTGGCTGATGTCTATTATAGTACTGTTTGTCCTTTTTATGACCACGAACCAACACGTGGCAGCGCTCTCTACCACTGAGCTACTTCCCCAGCCTGGACACATGGTACTTTTGGTGTTGACCTTGACCACTGGCTAAGCTAGTATCTGCCAGACCTCTCCACTGAAAGAGAGGATTCCACCTTTTTAAATTCTAAATATTTGAGGAGCTATTCTGAGGCTATGCAAATACTTTGCCCACTATTTTCGACATCTGTCCATTTAGCTCTTGTCTGCAACTGCAGCTGTGGTGTCTTGTGAATCCCCGTTTTCCTCATTTCTTCTCTACATTTATTAATTAGAATTCTGTAGGGAAGAGCTGCTGCTTGTCTCCATTTCTAACTTCTTTGGTTCTCTTTGTGTCAATGTGGACTCATGGATGTTCATTCTTTTCTTTGGGTTATAGGTGACACTACTGATATTTGCTTGGCTGTTTGAGTTGTTCAATGGGAGCTTCAGGGTTGGTCCTGGTCCTGTCAGCACTTGACATGCCCCATCATTCTTCTCATTAGGACTTCCTTTTTTGGGATAAGACACTCCTAGTTCAACTTGGTTTTTCCCTGCCCCCGCCCTGGGATCATCCAGTTCTTGGTTCCTTTTGTTAGGGAATAGAATTTAGAAACCAAGGTCTGGGTTCCAAAAGTGCTTGTTGGCAAATGGAGTGAAAGTGTCCCTGTCCCTCTTGGTGGACAGAGTAGGAGATACAGACTGTACAAGGGTGGGTGGGGGGTACTAACTTATGCACACAAATCTGAATTTTATTTCTGCATTCACCTATTTGTATATATGGCTTAAAAAAGCAACCAGGATGTAAGGAAACATGGAGAAAAGTTGTGACTCTTATTACAAATAAATAACCACAATGAAAGAGAAGCTGAGCTAAGTACCTTTGGAAAGCACTGTTCTGACTGACACTGTAAGGTCAAAGACAAAAACAACTGCACATGAACACACAACACTGTACTAGCTGAAACCGGTGCTCACCCCTGTGAGGTTTTTAGCAATTCTAAAGCTGTTTAGAGTTGAACAAACAAGTAAAAATACTGTAGATAGCAAAAGTAAGGTTACTCACTATAAGAGAAAAAAGTTAGAAATAATGAAAAGCAGTGCTAGGTGCTGTGGGGCATGCCTGTAATCCCAGCAGCTCAGGAGGCTAAGACACGGGAACCACAAGTTCAAAGCCAGCCTCGGCAATTTATTGAGGCCCTAAGCAACTCAGTGAGACTCTGTCTCTAAATAAAAAAATAAAAAGGGCTGAGGGTGTGGCTCAGTGACAAGTGCACCTGGGTTCAATTCCGGGTACTAAAAAAAAAAAAAAAAGTAGAACTAATAAAGGCTAGTAATAAACAAGTAGTGCTATACACAGAATCCTAGCAGTTTCTGACTTACAGTGCTTCTCTCTCCCTCTTTTTAAATAGCTAAATGGATTTTTTAAAAAGTTCAGATGGGCATGGTGGCTTATACCTCTAATCCCAGCAGCTTGGGAGGCTGAGGCAGGAGGATCGCAAGTTGAAAGCCAGCCTCAGCAAATTAGCGAGGCCCTAAGCAACTTAGCAAGACTCTGCTCAAAAATAAAATTAAAACTAAAAGGGGCTGGAGATGTGGCTCCATGATTAAGTGTCCCTGGGTTCGATCCCTGGTACTTAAAAAAAAAAAAATTCCCAGCTTCTTGTTAAATACTATCAGGCCACAATCTGCTGCAGCTGAGCAGAGTTCATCCTAATTGACCCCTGACCTTAGCCCTCCACTTCCTCTAGTCACTCACTCATTATTCACTTTACCTGCCTAGGAACCATAGGCTTGAGACTGACTTACCTAAGGTCACACAGCAGAGTAGTGGCAGAGAACAGATCAAGGCCCAGATCTCTTCCCTTCCAGCTCAGCCTACCTCCCTCTCCACCTTCAAAGGCAGAATAGCCTGAAAACTCAGGTGAACTAACTGTGGGCATAACACCCACCATCTATGCCCACCATCTTCCCATTCAGAGGGTCCTCCCAGGGCTGGACACAGAACATTCACAGTGCAGGACTGAGGCTCTGGCAAGGAGAAGGATGGGAGAGGGCCAAGGAGCTGGTTACCCAGGAGGTCCCCTGAATGGGTGGAAAACAGGGGTCCCCCACTAGAGCCACCGTGCACAGCGCACGTGGTCTGCAGCATCACTGGTGTGTCGTCCACCCGCACCACAGCTGACAGGATGCCTGAGGTCATCGAGGGTCCACAGGTTTGGCCAAAGACACCGAAGCCCACCACGCTGACAGGATCTCCTGCGAGAGAGGGAAGGAGGGTGAAGCAGGGGAGGACTCACTCCCAACACATCCCCACCCTCTCCAAAGGTCCCGACCCGCTCTGCCCCTTTAGTTTTTGCTCAGATACTCCCATGCCAAGGAGCCTTCTTTCCCAGGTCCCCACTGCAGGAAGACCAGCCAGTCACACTTGGGGTTCTTTTTTTTTTCTTTTGGACCAGGGATTGAACTCAGGGGCACTCGACCACTGAGCCACATCCCCAGCTCTATTTTGTATTTTATTTAGAGACAGGCTCTCACTGAGTTGCTTAGTGCCTGGCAGTTCCTGAGGCTGGCTTGGAACTCAAGATTCTTCCGTCTCAGCCTCCCAAGCCTCTGGGATTACATGCGTGCACCACTGAACCGGCTTTGCGGTTCTTTTCACGTATCTAGGTGCTCAATAAATGTTGGTGGAATTAATATTCATCACCTCCTGGGATTAAAAAGTCTCCTGGGAAAAGAAATGGTGATGAGGGCTATAAAGTAGCCACCACCTTCCTCCCCAAGTGCTTTGAAGGTACAAGGCAGAGCCTAGGGTTAGATGCTTTATAGGCACATCTCAAACAGTCCTCACCATACCCAAGATAAGGTGCATGGATCCCATTCTGCAGATGTGGTGACCCAGGCAGAGGACAGTTTAGCAGTCTGTCCAAGGACAGCAGTGGCAGAGGAGAAGCTGATCCAGAGCATCTGTCCTCTTCATCACTATATCACACGGTCTCCATGAAATGGGACATCTCCCACCATGTGGCAGCATCTCAGAGCCATTTACCTAATCATGCCATGGGAGCCCTGAAGATACCACACACTCCTCTGACCAGCCTAAATGCATTAGGAGCCTCCAAAACCCAGCCCCCCAACACTACACTGCTGCAGAGCCTGGGGGTTAGGCCATGCCTTACCCTTCACAGGTTACACCAGCTGCCCCCAGCACCTGGGGCATTCTGGAACAGCCCCAACAAGAACCTCACAGTGCCACCCTGACTCATTACCTCTGCAGGCAGGGGAAGGGAGCTGCCACTTGGTGTGGCATGGCTAGTCAACCCTGACTCTCCTTCCTGAGGTCCAGCCCAGACCAGAGGGCTTGCCTTCAGGCTGAACCCTTTGTCCTTTACCTTCATGGAAGTGCTCAGTTGGCACAGGCATAGGGACACCTTCTAGGTCCTCCTCCAGGTTCACCACTGCTATGTCATAGGGAGATGTCTCCTGGGTGGCAAACACCACATGTCCCAAGATGGCCACACTCCTGGGAGCAAGGGAAACAAGTGACAGGCTAGTTTGGCACTGGGGAGAAAGCAAGATGAGAGTGACAGCAAAATTCATGGACTTGGGAGTCAGAAGATCTGGGTCAGTCCTGAAACTTAACCAACCAGGCAGCTCTGGGTATGTCACTTAACCAAACATGCTTTACAAACAATAGAGCACTTGTATGCAAAGTTTCCTGTTCCTTGCCATGATAATGAACACCTGATACCTGCTGAGCACCACATGCCAGGCCTGGTGCTGATGTCTTGTGGACATCATTTCACTTAGTCCTCGTGACCCTGTGAATTAGGCACTGATACAATCTCCATTCTACTTATTTTTCATTTTTGGTACTGGGGCTTGACATTGTCTGTTTTATATGGTATAGCTGAAGCCCAGAGGTTGAGTGACATTCCCAGGGTCACATGACAAGTAGAAGTTGGGCAAACAAATGGGAATAGTTCTTCATTGCCTCCTTATGGGTTCATATTTTATTGGGGTGGCATGATGGGCTTCTAGCCCTCTTAGTGCTTGTTTATATCATGTTTTCAGAGCACACTATGTGCCAGTCTCTGGCCAAAGAATTTACATGTAAGCTCACTTAGAGGGGGCAGGGTGAAGCTTACACACATTAAGTGACTTGCCCAACACCTCACAGGGACATCCTGCTACATACTGAAGGGGTATTTTCCTACAAACACTGGTTTTCTTAGGAACAGGAGTAGAGGGGTGAGGAGTTGGGGGCCATCATCAGGAAAACCTCACCATCAGCTTTCCCTGTAAAATCATGGTTGTCTAAAATCATGGCTGTCTGGTCAGCCACCCATGCGGGCCCTCTGTGGCAAAGCTGGGCTAGGTTAGCCACACTGGGCTAATCTTGGGAATTCAAAAGAGATTTGAAAAGGCTTGCAAGGTAAGGCCAGGCATTAACATCAAGGTGCTATACTGCTTAACTTTGGCCTGGATTAAGCACCTGGGGCTACAACAGAAACAGAAAAACCAAGCCTGGAAGCCAAGGCTCTGGCCCAGGGAGGACAAGGCTACTTTTGGCTACACAAGGAACTAGTGACTATCTGAAGTCAGCCTGGCTGCCCACCAGGGTCATCTACAAATTGTTCACAAAGTTATCCATCTGCCTGGGCCTCAACCCTTCATTTACTTAGGTAGAACTATACATTTGTAACTTTCACCCAGAGAGGCAGCCACTGCTAAACTGCAAGAGATAAAAATTCTAAGATTAGAAGGTCTATCTCATCACCCCTAGAGGGCAATGTCCTGGGTCCCTGAAATGTCAATGTTAGGGAACGGGATCAAAGGGCTCAATGAGAGGTGTGAGGTCCAGGGCTAGGAGGTAAGAAATTCAGACTGTGAGAAGGAGCTCAAAAATGTCCAGTCCTGTATGTAGGGAACGGCTCCACAGCTCCCAATTCCAAATCTGCTTGAATCTTGGCATCCTGACCAAGCTCTATTCAGGCCCTGCCTATCAAGAATGAGGGGGAGTCACAGGCATCTACTCCCACTACATTCCCAAAGCACCAACATAAGGCCAGCAGAAAGGCCCCCACAATCCTCCATGTGGAAGGTCTGGGTCCACACCTGAAACCTGGTGAGGAGCAAAGAGGGACAGTCCTGAGGCCCTTACTTGGGGGTGACAGAATGCACCAGGACTCTGGCCGCCTCCCGAGGGGCCACGTGCCGGCAGGTCACCACGAGGCGAGACGCCACGGCCACTCCTGAGCCCCACACGGTGCCGCACTCCACCAGCACGGCTGCGGCTGCCCACGGGGGTCCCGGGTCTTGAAGGGACAGGCCCCGCGGGACGCCCACCTCGGGCGGCAGGAGATCTGCCAGGGCAGCGGCATCGGGCTGGAGGTGGGCGAGCGCTGCGCGGGCGACGCGAAGCAGCGGAGCTGCGGCGCAGAGCAGAGTGAGGCCTACCCACTCGCGGGCCTTCCAGCAGAGTGGCGCCGCCACCAGTGCCACCAGCGATCCTGCGGGTCGCGCAGCGAAAACGCCACCGCCCTCAGTGCCTGGCAGACAGCGAGCGTCGGTAAGCAGCAGCGGGCCGGCCACGTTGCTGAGCACACCGCGGCTCAGCGTGTTGAGGAAGATGTCTGGGCAAAAAGCCCCGAACGGGGAACCGCAGGCCAGCAGCTGCGCGCCCTTGGGCACAATCCCGAGAGGCGCTACGGTCATCGCGGGCCCGACCTCCTCCTCCGCCTCCTGGCCGGGCTGCACGCGCAGCATCGCGAACCAGCCCAACGCTCGCAGCTGATCCTCCTCCTCGTCCTCTGACACCTCATCGTCAGGCGCGGCGCTCGCGAAGCGCCACTGCTCTGCCGCCTCGCCTCCAAAGAGGCGCGCGAAGTGGGCCCGAAAGGCCGGGCAGCTTAGCAGCAGCAATAACTCGGCCCTACGCGGCGGTTGCAGGAGTCGTCCGCGGGGCCGCGCGGCCAGGCCGGGTTCGAGGCCCGAGCATTGCGGCGTGCACAGTCCGGGACGACCTGGCTCCGCGCGGCCGGCGGTACTCGTGCCCGTTGGTCCCCATTGTACGTGAAGGCGCAGGTCGTCACTACAACTGTCGCCGGGCAGGGTGGTGGTGCCGGCCGCGGTCAGGGCCCCGCTGCCAGCCCGCAGGAAGGGGGTGAAGATTCCCCCGTGGCACAACACCAGGCCCGGGTTGCGGCTCAGGATTACCCCGCTGCAGCTCCAAGAGCCCGCTTCCGGCTGTCCGGCCCTGGAGGCGCTCACCACGCAGCCCGCCTGCTCGGCCGCCTTCATGGAGGGCCCCCACTGCCGCCCCATGGTTCCTGGGACTGGACTTCCAAGGTTTCCCCAAGAACAAGCCAAAAAGCAAGGTAGGATCGGGACGCCAAGCTAGGGGAAATCGACTCAGCGCTACACACAACTATGAGCTAGAGGCGTAAGCACTGACTCAGGTCTTCCTCGTCAAGCCCGATTGGCTAAGCCCCAACTGACCCGACCCGATTGGCTAGGCATGGGGCCGAAGTCTGATTGGCTGTGTATCTCCTTTCCCCGCCCTCTTTGGATTATCCAATTTGTGGGATTTCTAAGCAGCGGTCCCACTAGACCAGCCGGAGGAAAGAGTGACAGGCGTGAGTCACCGGGATTTGTGGTGAGATGGCTTGAGGGATCCGCCCTCCGAGCCTAATTTTTGGTAAATAGAAATGAGCACTTAAGTAGCTACACATGCCTATGCCTTAAGAGGGCAGAAGCAGATGATCCTTAGTCTCTGACCCGGGATAATGCGGCCAATTTACTAGGTATTTTGAAAATGCTGTTATTTTTGTATTTTGAAATTTTTAAAGTAAACCTTAAACCTGGAGCGGTGGCACAAGCCTGTAATCCCAGCGACTTGGGAGGCTAAAGCAGGGGTATGTAAGTTCGAGGACAACCTCAGCGATTTAGCAAGACCCTGCCTCAAAATTAAAAAAATAAAAATAAAAATAACTAGGAATGTAGATCAGTGCTAAATTTCTCTGGGTTCAATCCTCAGTACAAAAAAAAAAAAAAAAAAAAAAGTAAACCCTAAGCAATCCGCCAGGGGGCACAGAACTCACAAAATTACTCCTAGGACCTTTTGTTGCTAAAGTGCCAACTTGACAAATCTCATGGAAACTGGATTTGCTCTAAATTAAATTGTCCTTTAAACTATGATAATAGTTTATAATAGTAGCTAAAAGTCAAAATTTTTCATCATGCAATTCTATATTTTGCAGTATGCACATTTGACATAATAACATTTATAACCACCACTCAGGATTTATGTAGGCCAGCTAATCTTTTTTTTCTGAAAAAAAGCAAAAATGGAAATAGTTCAAGTTTTGCTGCCCATATAATCTTTGTCACAAATTTTACTTAACTCTGCAATTGTATCACACAAAAGCCAGAGGAACCATGGTGACTGTGTTCTAATAAAACTTTATGAATTTTGCAGGGTACAGTATAGCACACCTGTAATCCAGCTGCTAGGGAGACTGAGGTGGGAGGATTGCAAATTCCAGGTCAGCCTCCCCAGTTTAGCAAGACCCTGTCTCAAATAAAATAAAAAGGGCTAGGGATACAGCTCAGTGGTAAAGTACCCGAGTTTAATCCCCAGAACTATATACACACTAAAAAACTAAAATTACAAAATTTGAATTTCATTATTTTCATGTTTCATAAAATAGCATTCCTAATTTTTTTCAACTATAAAGTGTAAAAATCTTTATTAGCCCAGAGGCCATACAAACACAGCCAGCAGGACAGATTTGTCCCTCAAACAGTAGTTTGCCATTTCTAATCTAGGCTAACAAAACTTCCCTACTTTTCCAAAGTAGTATCTTGAGGATAGGCAGGCCTGGGAGGACATCGTGATACTCCAAAGCAGTCACCACAAGCTACACATTTTATTAAGTCTGCTTTATCACTGTGTCACTAAAATGTTAATCTTTAGCAAGATTACTAGTACACATCTAAGTCAGCAATAATGAAAAAAGTTACTATATAAATTACATAAACTTTTTGCATAACTTCTTTGAATAAAATTAATGCTGCTTGGTGTATTCGAAACACAACACATGATAATGCTTTCAATGTTCCTGATGATACAAATCAGTTTTCAGAAACAATTGACCATGGTATATGAGGCAGATCTGAAATTAAGCAGTCTTCCCACACCAGGCAGTCTTCTTTTGGTTTTATGACACAGAAGATAGCTTGTTCACAGCAAAACCTCCCCTAACTCAACTTCTGAGCAATTAAGACTTTCTCTCTAGAGTCCACTGATTCTCCCCTAATGACGCTCTGGCATGAACTGTTATGCGTCAAGGTTTTTTGTTTCTTAGTACAGAAGTCCCAAGTCACAGCCAGCAGTAGGCAAGGTGAGACCCACTGAGTGCTAGGCTCATCTTTGATCTTCATGTTGTACTTGCCTCAAACAAAACAATCCCATCTCCCCATAGAACCCATGTCATCCTTTCATATCAACAGGAACAAAAGGACATTTCCAGTGGTTTAAGTCTCAGTTGTAAAGAACCTGTTTCATTTTATTTCCCATTCTATTTGTCCTGATTTTATTTTGGAATCTCATTTGTAGTTTTCTAAAAGCAAGGCTTCTGACAAGTCCACTAAATGCCCAAGGAGTCCTTCCCCTTATTTGCCAAGGGTATCATTCAACTGATTCTCTTCAAGTCGTATAAAATGAGTTAAAATAGAACTAAAATGGATGCTTCCCTACCATCTTGTAAGATTTTGCTTACACATCTACCATTCCTCTCCTGTTGCAATAACAACCCTGGGTCCACAAGACACTTCAAGGTTCCCAAACAGTACTAAAGTTCTTCTACCAGCCCAGCCTTGTTTATTTCTTCCTGAAAACAAAATTCAAGATTCTTACACCCACTCTAAATGTTTCTTCCTCAATGAAGGGAAGAACTCTGCTTTTCCTCCCCCAAACAGATGATTATATGCTCAAACAGAATAAATCAATGAAAAAAAAAGAAGAAAAAAAAGAAATAGCAAGGTTGTTTTAACTTTTTATTAAAATGCTTAGGATACAGATTGACTTTCTTTTGTAAATGAATGTTTTACTTTTCCTGAAGTAGGACATATATGCACTCTGATAAAACAGAATGAAAGGTCTCAGCTTGTGGGAGTTCCTGTACAAGGCTCTGCTCATCTGTCTGGAGCTGAGCTCCTCCAGTAGCTTTCTCAGCTATCGTATGATAAGAACAGTGTTCTGTGGGACAAGAAATCAATGGGTGCTGCTTGACTTTTCAACGCCCTCTTCCTCCAGTGGCCAAAATAAACCACTTTCACAAAGAACTGTCCTATGTAGAGACCACAGTTTTCTAGCTTACTACAAACTGATTAGGGACAAACCGGGTGAGAGTAGAGAAACAAAAAAGAAAACTAACACTGCAGCCTCATATCTTTGATAGAAAATTACGGACAACCTTTAAGCCAAAGGAAATAAAAAGTATGCAAGTTATCTATCTATAACTAGTTCATTTGCTGTTAGCTAGATTTGTTCACTTAAGGCTTTGACCCCTTTCCAAACCAACAATTTTGTCTTAATCCAGCTATGCTTGCTATAAACACAACGTATGAACTTCCCAGACATACTTTATGTAGCCTCTGCATTTGGGACCTGGCAGTGGAAAAGAATGCTTTCCCAACAATAAGGTACTGAAAACCAAGAATGAGAAAGCAACTAAAGAATGATCCTGTCCCACCCCAGGAATGTATTATCCATAGTCTCCCTATCCTCCCATTAAAGTCAGAATCCAGTGAACTGAGTTCAATCTTTCGCAAAAAAGTATCATCATCACAATTTTCAATTTTGAAGAAACTATCTTCAATCTTTTATTAAAGAAATGAATATAGATACCTCCCACTTTAAGATGATTTCCTATCATCTTTCACCACACTGTAGAATATAGGTTGAGATCATGAAAATCCAATTTTACACGTGGCACTATGAAAATGGAATGCTATAAAAACAATGCCCATTGCCCTCATGGGGATGCTGATGCTTCATACTGATGTCAGCCACAGGAAGAGCTCTGTAGGATGTTCCTGGTTTGGTGTTTCTCCTCAGCTTATTTTTGGAACAACAAAAAGCAATTTCATACCAAAACGACTGGAAAAGCTGCAGATAATAACCTTTACTTTAAACACCAACAAAATAGGTAACTGAGAAGATGTAAGAAAGAGAACTCATGAACAAGAGAAATCAAATTCTGCAACTATTTTTTAAAAATTTTAAAGCCCACTGAGAAATCTTTCCTAGATTCACACAAGTGCTGTAATACCAGATGTCTAAGTCCTCAACTCACAGAATTAAGAGCCCTTAAGCTGTTCATTTTGTCCTGTGTCCTTCTATTCAGAATAATTCCCCCGCCCAGAATCTCTGCAAAAGAAACTCAGACACACCTGCAGTATGCGACTATATAAGAGATGTTTCGACTCTTTCTTGAGGCAAAATTCAGGTTTTTTTTAACTGAAAATGAGAAAAGATACTACAGAGAGCAATGAAATTTCACAATAGTATTAAAGCAAAGATTGGCTGAAATTTGTAACTTTATAAGTAAAAATAATATAATAATAACTCACTCTATAATTAACTCCTCCACAGTGAACAATCTGTTACCCACTCTGTGATGAGGAACGAATCCAGCTGACCACAGTGGAAACCTGCCACAACCATAAGGCCAAGTTTCTGACCTTTTTTTTAATTCTCCATGGACAAGCTGATGCCACCTCCTACAAGGCAGTTACAGAGACAAGGGAGCTTAGAGGAGCTTCTCTCACCAACCTGCCACCTCAGCAGGAGTAAGTTCACTCTCCTGAACTCTGGCCTCCAATGTGTAACTGTTCATAATTTTATGAAGTATCTAAATGTCATTCACTAATTAAAAAAAAAAAAAAGAATAGAAAACTCTGGACCAAGGAAATTGTGAACTCAAAAAGTCAAGAGGGATACCAATTACATTAACAACACTTTCTTTAAAAAATAGAATCACTTTCTTTTGAAATCAACCACAGTGGTGAGACGTGTTTTTCTTCTCAGGTGTCCTGTGATGGCACACAGCCTTACCCGGCAAATCCTGCCAGCTTCCAAGTCCGGGGATACTGACCTGCACCAGCACATGGAGCAGCGTTACCTCAACAGTATGGAGAAGAGCACATGTCACCACTGGGCGTGAGAGTTGACAAAGACTCTTGGCTTCTCAACGCCAGACATGGTTGGAGAGCTTTCCTTGTTCTATTAGAAAAGTTCATGAGGAAGCTGTGAATAGGATCAGTCCAGAGGAGTAAAACTCTTTTATTTTCACTGTCCAAACATCAGTCAATATACTGGGAGAGCCAGCGGAAACCCTCGCCGTAGCCTTGCCTCTTGAGCACACTGCACATAAACACTTCCATGGGGCGGGCATTCAGTTCCTTCAGAGTCACATTCCCCTAAGGGAGGCAAAGCCAAGAAAGGGTGGTTAGCATCTCTGAGGTGGAAAAGCTTAAAAGGGTGATCACTAAAGTCTGTTACTCAGTTCCTTAAATGCATATCTAAGTGGGTATTAATTACAGAAATGTGGTTCAGGCCATCTAGATGACTTCCCTAGGGCCTCTTGCTTTCAGGATATAATAAGTAGCACAGTTCTATTGCCAGCCAGCCATTCTCTCTCTCTCTCAAGAGCATTTGCTTTGAACACTTAACATTCATCTAGAAAGTCAAGGCAGCAACCAAGAAACAGCGACTGGGAGTCATGGAACCAGCATGTATTCTGATGGACAAGAGAGGTCCGGGACTGATAGAAGTCCCACTGAGAATAATCAGGTGCTTTGATTCCAATGCTTGGAATGTGATATAAATGACTGCTTCTCTTCAAAACCTGAAATCTTCAGCCCCCAAAACAACAATAAAAAAACCCCAAAACCCCACTTTCTGGCTAAGAAGTGTTCTTTTAAAAGATTGCTTTTCTACCAATTCTCCAAATTCCTAAGGAATAAAGTATCAGAAGGTTTAAAAAGGGGCTGCGGACATAACTCAGTGCAAGCACTACACAAAGAAAGGTTTAATAACATGCCTCTGCCTTTAGTGAGCTTACACAATACCTATACTAAAAGAAATCCTAAGCCTTTAAACTTTTGAAAGGAGACTCCAGAGTACCAAACATCAGTGTTTCAGATGTCGTGAATGTCCTTTCTAGGCCTCCTGAAGACTTTTCTCTTACCTTTCCTGTGGTCTGTCCATAAAGCCCAAATATCTCACGAAGTTTTTCTTCACTGATTGCATCTGTTCTGTCAATTTTGTTTCCCAAGATAAGGATTGGCACATTGGATATTGTTTCATCAGTCATTAAAGCCTAAAGACAGGGTTAAAAAAAAAAAAAAAAAAAAGCTAAGTGAGGGACTCTACTGATCTTATAAGGCATTATATGCAAAGTGAAAAATCTGAACATCTCTATATCTGAATAAAGACTCATCATAACAATTGGTAAAAAATCCTCTAACTACCTCAAAACAATTCCAACTTAAAGTCATCTATTTATGAGATACAAGAACCACCCCAACCTTAACTTTTAGCTAGTTGGCTTAGCCACAAACCATCCTCAGATGGTCCTGCCCATTTGCATAGTCCAGAAAAATGAATGCTGTGGCTACATAGCCTCAGAGATGACCACAGGAACCACCCAAGTTCTGAGTATCCAGTATGTGCAAAGCCCCATCTTGAACACAGCAAGAGATGCAGAATGAAGGGTTAGAGAAGACATCCCAGTCCATATTCTATGTCCATATTTATGTTAAGAAAACTAAATAGTAACACAATGTAGTAGACTGTCACAATGAATGGGGACAAACTAGTAACAGTAAAAACAAGTTCAGGGAAATAAACAATTTGGGCCTAGCAAAACTGGGCTCTAAAGGAAAGGCAGGACTAACACAAGTGCAAAAAAGGAAGAACATAAGCAACAGCTTTGGAGTAGGATAAGAACTGAGGAAGCTACGTGAAATATTGCCTAGTGCAATTAAAGCATTTACACTGATATGCAGCAACAAAGTAAGGATAACCCACGTTATGGTGCCATTCTGAAAAGTTAGCTGCACTAGATCTACAGACCACAGACCAAAAATGTATACTCATAGGACAGTGAATTTACAAATAGTATCTATCTGTGGTGCTCATGTAAGAGATGATAATATCTGCAAAGTAGCAAATTTAACAAATTGTGCAAGAGACATTTTAGAGACGTTAAGTGAATTCTAAATGACAGAACAGACAAAAAAGGAGTTAAAAGTCTGTGGAACAGACTTCAAGACTGGGCATCTAAGTTTTAAATGATGGGAAAGCTTGGAAAGAAAGAGTTGAAGCAATAGGGGAATATGCTCTGACCATTTTGAATTCTAGGAAGTGTTAAGACAAAATCAGAATAAGGATGCTACTTTATCATGTAAATACTGATAAAGTGCTTAAAATGTGTCCAGTGCTGGGCTGGGGATGTAGCTCAAGCGGCAACGCGCTCGCCTGGCATGCACTGGGTTCAATCCTCAGCACCACTTAAAAAAATAATAAAATAAAGATGTTGTGTTAAAAAATAAAAAATGTGTCCAGTGCTTTGTTGGGACAAAACAATAAGAAATAAGACAAAGTCTGTTTTAGTTAGTTTTTGCATCATTGTGACCAAAATACCAGAAAGAACAAATTAGAGGAGAAAAGGTTTATTTGGAACTCATGGTTTGAGGTTTCAATCGACAGATGCAGTCATTACTCTGGACCCAGGGCGAGGCAGCACACTGTGGGGGAAGGGCCCAGTAGAGGAAAGCTATTCATGGGTAGGGTCAGGAAGCAGAGAGGGAGGGAAGGGGCCAAAGGGGAGATGTACCCTTCCAGACCCATCTCCTCTAGCCACACACCACCTGCCTGGTTACCACCCAGTCAGTCCACTCAAAATAGGTTGGACTGATGAGGTTACAACAATCCAATCATTTCACCTCTGAACATCCCTACACTGATACAGGAGCTTTGGGAGGTGCACCTCATAGCCAAATCATAACAAAGTCCCCACATATAAGTTTATAGTCTCGGGGGACAATAGACATGCAGCTACGGAGAGACAATTTGGTCTGAGAAGTCAGTGATGGCCTCTCAGAAGTGATCATACCTGAAATATGAGATCTCTTAAAGGACATTTTAAAATTTAATAGCAAAAGGGAGGCAGGCTGGATACTACAGTGACACAGCCACATCAATGTTTATAGCAGTACAATTCACAATAGCTAAACTGTGGAACCAACCTAGTTTCCCTTCAATAGATAAATGGATAAAGAAACTGGGGGGGGGGGGCTGGAGTTGTGGCTCAGTGGTAGAGTGCTCATCTAGCACATGTGAGGCCCTGGGTTCGATCCTCAGCACCACATAAAAATAAAGATATTGTGTTCAACTACAACTAAAAAAAAAAAAAAAAGCAAAATATTTAAAAATAAAAAAGAAACTGATACACACACACACACACACACACACACTGGAATATCACTCAGCAAAAAAAGAGAATAAAATTATGGCATTTGCAGGTAAATGGATATAGTCAGAGAATATCATGCTAAGTGAAGTAAGCCAATCCCCCAAAACCAAAGGCCAAATGTTTTCTCTGATAAGTGGATGCTAATCCATAATGTGGTGGGAGGTGGATGGGATGAGTGGAAGTACTTTGGATGCGACAGAGGAGGAGGAGAGGGGACATGGGAATAGGAAAGATGGTGGAATGAGACAGACATCATTATCCTAGGTACATGTATGATTGCACAAATGTTGTGACTATACTTTGGGTACAACCAGAGAAGTAAAAAATTGTGCTCTATTTGTATACACTCAATCAAAGAGCATTCTGCTATCATGTATAACTGATTAGAACAAATAAATATATCATTTAAAAAAAGGGAGGCAGGCTGGGAATAGGGAGGGAGGAGGGATAGGCGAGGAAGCTAAGTGGGGAATGGCTACTTATGTATATCCAAGGAAGGACAAGTTGTTCTCTCTGTTTGGAATGTAATTTAAGGTAGGCAGTAGGAAAAAAGGAATATAAAGAAGAAAAATAAAAACAGAGGGAGAATCATGAAAGATCATATGTTATGCAAAATATTTATAGATTTTATCCTGAAAGTGATACAAAAACCAAGCAGGGCAATGCCAAATCCAAGATAATTTCTTCTAGCAATATAGTGCCTATCAGAACGATGGAAGAATCTACAATAATTCAAAAGTTTCTGGACTGCTTATCTAGGAAACAGGAGGGGAAGATGAATAGCTTCCTCCTTTGAGAAAGCAGGATCAGTAGGTGGAATTATCCAGCAGGAAGCAATTATGCATGAGGCTGGGGTTCAGAAGAGGTCTTGATGAGAGAAGTCCATCTGGAGGTCATAGACATATGGATGAGAGATGAAGGAATGGGAATAGATGAAAGTAGCCTGAGAGAATACCCACATTCAAAGGCTAAGCAAAGGAACAAGTACTTATGCAAAAACTGAGAAATATAAGCTAGAAAGACAGCATCAAAATCAAGAGTGTAAAGGGGAGTTTAGAGAAATAAAAAATGGCCAATACCAACAAGTTAAGTAAGGTGAAGACTGTCTTGTAGGCAATTCCACAAGACCAGAGCTGGAAATTATCAAGCCAAGAAAATACAATGTTAGCCAGGCACAGTGGCACACATCTATAATCCCAGCAACTCAGGAGGTTAAGTGAAGTCAATCCCCCAAAGGCCAAATGTTTTCTCTGATAAGTGAATGATAATCCATAATGGGGTGGGAGGTGGATGGGATGAGTGGAGGAACTTTGGAGTGGAGGCATGACAACTGCAAGACTGAGGCCACCCTCAGCAACTTAGAAAGACCCTGTGTCAAAATAAAAAAGGGTTGGGAATATAGCTCAGTGATTAAGTGTTCCTGGGTTTAATCCCCAGTACCAAATAAATAAATAAAAACAATGGACAGAGGAGAAAACCTGCAGTGAGTCCTTGATAGTACTGAAGGATGCATGTGACCAAAAGACTGAAGATTGAGAACAGACTATTAAGATCTAGCAAGTCATTCAGTGGGAGGGCACATAGGCACAACCTGAGAAGGCAGATTTAAAAATATAGCTGGGTACATTGGTGCACACCTGTAATCCCAGTGGCTCCGGAGGCTGAGGCAGGAGAATAACAAGTTCAAAGCCAGCCTCAGCAAGTTAGCAAGGCATGAAGCAACTTAGCAAGATCCTATCTCTAAATAAAATAGAAAAAAGGGCTGGGGATGTGGCTCAGTGGTTAAGTGCCCTTGGGTTCAATCCTCAGTATCATAGATAGATAGACAGACAGACAGACAGACAGACAGACAGACAGACAGACAGATAGATAGCTGGTGTCTCTTTTTGGGTTTCACTATACCAATATTACATAAAGACTGATACATGAAATGTAAGGCTATTAACTATGCCGGGACAACAGGCATAAACTGAGCAGTACCCTGAGCAAACTGGGCCAAAAAGTCACTGTATAATATAAAGCAGAAAAATCATTTAAGTTGAAGCTGAGGTTCCCCAAGTCATTGAAAAACAATATCTTGGGATTTTTTTTTTTTTATACCAGAGACTGAACCTAGGGGTGCTTTACTACTAAGCTACATCCCAAGCCCTTTTTATTTTTTATTTTGGGACAGAGTCTCACTATGTTGCAAGTAGCTAAGGCTGGCTTTGAACTTGCAATCCTCCTGCTCTCATTCTCCAGACCACTAGGATTATAGGCTTCCACCACTACACCTGGCACACCTTCATTTTTGAAATATATTTATTTTTTTGTGGTGCTAGGATTGAATCCAGTGCCTCACGCATGCTCGGCAAGTCCTCGATCACTGAGCCACAACCCCAGCCCAATATGACTTGGACTTTCATTGTGTAAACTGGA